AGACGATATCATATCACCCACAGCCGAGAGTAGCGGTCGCCCAACCAACATGCCGACCACTTGCGCAGACTGAAAAAAATACCGGAATGGCCAATTGGTGCATAACTCAGAAATTATTGGTTATTGTACACGTTCAAAATTTCCTTGTTTGCAATGTTACGGCCCTGAAGAAGAGTTGCCGAAAAGCATGCCTGAAAATTGACTTTTCAATGTATCTTTTGCTGAAGCGACCGCTCATTGGAAGTTGATGGCGTTAAATGAGTCGAAATCGCCCGGTCCTGATGATATACGGCCCAAACTTATGAAGGCTCTTGCTGAAGAACCAGCTATACCGCTTTCCATGCTTTTCCCAGCATCTTCAAAGCCGGCTGTTTAGCCGCAGACTGGAAATCTGCACGAATCAAACGTTTATTAAAACAAGTACAGAATAATCTTCCTCACCTCTTGCTGCTGCAAAGTTGCGAAAAAATAATTAAGCGTGAGCTGATGCGTTTCTTATGTGCAGCATAGATTACGTAGAAACAGATCCTGCGTGGTGAACTTGCTCTAATGTTTGGGACGTTGGAACCGAGTAAATGGTGGAGGAAAACTGCCGCATATAGTATCTGTCGCTTTAAGAAGTTGTTCGAAAGTGTCCCACGTTAAGGAGTCCTGCACAAAATTAGCCGAATAGACGTTAAGGGCAATATAATGTGGATTTGAAGCTTCCTATTTTGGTTGCTCCTTAACTTTCCCTATCAATAATCACGAGACGGCGGAGGTTGCGAGATTTTCATCTCGAATGAAATTGTCCGCACTCGCTGTAATTGTATCACGAGGATATCTCAGGCCATTTATGAAAGGCGACTGAGGTGGTTTGGGTACGTTCTCTGTCGTCCGCCACACGAGATTTGCTATGCTGCCGTCGATCCGGCACCGCAGATCACCTGGAGGCGTGGAAGAGGAGGGCAACTGGAGACTTGGCTCTACACCGTCCGTCAAGACATGGAAGCAGTTCTTGGACTTTCTGTCTTCGGTCTCCGTCGCTGAAGAAGAGACTTTTCAGATTG